GAAGAATAAATAGAACAGCGGAAGGGGGACGTCAACGTTCAGAGTTTGTCTTCCTGCAAGCAGAGATTATAACCCATTGCGTGGTGTCCCAACAATTAACCCCTTTTGTGAACAGGAGGCTCCCTTTAAAAAGAAAAGAAGCATGGGAGTGGTCATTCTTGATCCCTTCTTCTGAAAATGCTGGTTCCCTGGCTGATCATTCATTCAGTAGCTGAAGTACTTTCTAAGTCACTAACCTGGAACAAGCATACCAACTAGGAGTCCTGACTTCATTGGATCCAGGCAAAACAAGCATCCAGCAAATGAAATTTAGAGAAGGTTTTGTTCTGGGTCAGAGACTCAAAGTATTAAAGCTTCAGCATGACAACCAGCCGATTGCCATTCTCAAAAAGAGAGGCCAACAATGGCAACCTTCTTATTTCTCTCTTAGCAACTTATAATTTCTTCTGTTCCAGGAGCCATAAAATAAATCAGGCCAAACACTAGTAGAATTTTTTTTTTGCAATTCTTTGTCTTAACAAAGTTCATTCAATTTTCTAAGCACTGGTGGAGTCCAATCAGCGTTCATTATTGACCAGAAAATTCAAAAGGAGCAGGATAGAAACAAGTTTCTACTAATGTGTGCACTTTTCAGCTGGGAAAGTCCAAAATCGAATGTTAGCCACTTGCCCTCCAGAAGATTTTCCCCCCTTCATGACCAGGCCATTTTTGCTATTCAGCACTGCGCTACTTTAACTGGCAATTGCACGTTCCCACATATAGAGCTTGCTTTTGATCACCACTGGGTTTTTTATTTTTTATTATATAAATGAAAAAAGACTGTACATTTTGGGAAAAAAAACATATTTTTTTATTTTGTACTATAAAACATATCCACTTAAAAAAATCTTAAAAAATCAAATGTCTTCATAAGTTTAGACCAAAATGTATTCTGCTGTATGTCTTTGGTAAACAAAAATCCCTATACGCGTACATTAATTGGTTATAGTGTCTGATGGTATATATATTGGAATTTTTATTTTTTATTTGTTAATTTAATTTATTTTTTTTAACACTAGTTATGGCGCAAATCAGCAACTTATAGCGGGCCTGTGATAGTACGGCAGGCAATATGACACTAACTGAAAGTTTGTGGGAACTGACACTGACATCACCAGTGGCGCTTATACAGTGATCAGTGCTAATAATATACACCGACACTGTGCTAATGACACTGGCTGGGAAGGGTTTAACATTTCGGGGCAATCAAAGGGTTAACTGTGTGCCTAACAATGTGTAATGTGTTTACTGTTTTCAGTAAGCATTGTGCCGGTTTTAATTCCCTGCTTTGCAGGGAGACAAAAACCTGCACATAGCCTTTGTCATTGAAGAGCTCTGTGTTTACTGAGTGCTCTCCACTCATTCTCTCCACCGATCAGCAGGTCCTGGCCATAAATCATTGGCCGAGACCCAGTGATTGGCATGTGCTGGAACCAGTGACAGCACTGCCGGGGCAGCGCACGCCGCCCTACCTGGAAGTCTGAAATCACATTTATGTACAGTGCACAGTTCCTCCAGCGGTTAAAAGCAAACAAAATGTTGCAGTGCTTTTGAATGACATTTGTCAAGTCATCAAGTGCACTAAGAATTCTCATACAAATGTTTCTTGGAAAATCTATTAGTGTATGGCCAGCCTAAGGCCTCTTGCATCCTTCTGGCCTTCCCAAAATCGGTTGGCATTGTTCAGAGGATGTCTTCTACAGATGTGTCTCAGGTAGGGTTGCCACCTTATCTCCTTAAAACCCGAACACATATTAATGGCACAGGTTCTGATGCTCATCTATTGTAGATAAGGCACTGAGTGAGTTTAATTACCACCTTAATCAGCCACAGAACCTGTGTCATTAATATGTGTTTGGGTTTAACCACTTCCAGACCGGACACTTTTACCCCCTTCCTGACCAGGGCAATTTTCAGCTTTCAGCGCTATCACACTTTGAATGACAATTGCGCGGTCATGCAACACTGTACCCAAATTAATTTTTTACCATTTTTTTGAGACAGATAAAACTTTATTTTGGTGGTATTTATTCACCGCTGGGATTTTTATTTTTTTTGCTATGTAAATGAAAATGTCCAAAAAATTTTGAAAAAAAAAGTGTTTTTTTTTATAAAATTTTGCAAATTAATAATATTTCATCATAAATCTTTGCCAAAATTGATTCTGTTATCTTTTTAGTAAAAAACTAAATCCAAATTAGTTTATAACCAAAAATTATAATTTTTAAACTTTTTTTTTACATTTTTATTTTATTTTTTTATATTAATTTTTTTTTTTTTTTTACATACTGTCACCCTAGCAGTACAGTGTCACCATGGTGACACTGTACTACTTGTGGGGGGGGTGATGATTTTTTTTTTTTTTTTTTTACACTGATTGCTTTTACACCCATATAGGGTGTAAAAGCAATCATTTCTCTTTCTCTCTGTCTCCATTCTTGCACTCATTGAGAAGTACTGAGTGAGCTGTGATTGGTCACAGCTTGTCACATGGTACAAGGCTGTTGTGAATAGCCTTGAACCATGTGACCTCTGTGATCAATCACAGATTTCACATGTAGTAAGCAATAATGTCACAAGTGACATCTTGCTTACTACTTTGCATGTGATCACTGATTGGCCAATCAGTGATCACATGATCGGGACCTCGTACAGAGGTCCCGTCCGACGATCGGTGTTTCACTGTGTCCGGAGGACACAGCGGGCACCGGATCGCGGTGCTGTGCCCTGAGGGAGCGCGCACAAGCAGGGTGCGGGGAGGCCGTTTATAAACGGCCACCCAAACCTGCACTGCCACCGTCTGGCCGTTTATATGCAAGGGCCGGTGGAGAAGTGGTTAAAGGAATGAGGTGTGAGCCCTAGTCTCAAGAATGCATTGTTGCAATTGTTCTCCCCAGCCTGCACAGTAGGGTTGCCAGCCCATCTCTTTAAATCCAAACACACACTTTGTTGATAATTAAGGTGTTAATTAGCATCCCTCTTGTGCCTTCTCTCTGTGTAATTACTAACAGCACCTGTGGCAAGCCTATTGCAAAGGCTTCCTTTCCCCCATTGTTATAGTGAGCCCATGACTTCCAGAAGCTGTTGTTTTAGTTCTAGGAAATGATGGCTTAAGCAAACAAAAGGCTTTTGTGGGCTTTGATCACAACTCTCAGAGGACAGGAAAAAGCAAAGCAAATGGTAGAAGGATACCTCTGCCAAATAGCTTCATTCATCTATAGCTTTTTAAAAGTCCTGCTATTTTTTAACGCTTTTTCTGGTTATACATGGATCGAAATTCAGTTGGTTCAGCAGGGACCGGCCAAATTTCAATCCATGTATGGGCACTGTGGTTGGACAGAAGTCAATCTACCGATTGACTTCTGTTCAACTGACCTGTAAGGTTTTTTTTTTTTTTTATCGATCACCACTGTTGGCTATAGTCTCCAGCGTTGATCAGCGTATTCTGACAGCAGGGAAGTCTCCTTACTTTCAGAATACAATGGCACAGAGGAAGGATTCCCCCATCCGCGTTGAGTGTGTGTGAGAGAGCAACCAGGTTAGTTGTTTTTTTTTTTTTTTTCGTTCAGCCTGATGACTGAATGAAAAAACTGACTCGTCTATTGGTTGCTTAAGACCAGCTACGATCATGTAAAAGTAGACCATCCATTGCCCCTACTCAAGTCATGTTTTGGACACCCACCATGGTATGAGGCTATTCCATAAGCAAACACTTGGCCCCAGCCTAACAGTTGTCAGCAGAAAGCAACACAAAGCTCAGTGAGTGTGTGCTGCTTAAATTAGCCATAGATTCAGTAGAGACTGGCCACATTTTCAATCCATCTATGGCCGTCCCATTCCAGAGAATTCAATCCAATGATCAACTTCTCTCGAGCTGGCCTTTTGGAATATTTTCCTTTGATCAGCGCTGCAGCCAATTGGCTTCAATGTTGATCAGTGCATTCTCACAGCAGACATTTCCCCACTGTCAGAATACAATAACACAGCGGGAAGGATTCCTGCATCCACCTTGTGTGGTTGGGGAAATCCCAACCACACAGCCTGCTAGCTCATCAAAAATCACTGTTTGGGTTCCATGGTTGGCAGGGTTAAGCACCCTCTTCTGCACCTGCTAAGCCTACAAGTTGGTCATAGATGGTTTGAATCTCGGCCGGTTCAGCAGGGTTGGGCCAAGATTTCAACCATCTATGGCCACGCTGATTGTACCCAATTCGATTGTTGTACAGCTTTGGTACAACCAGCATGTCGGATTTTTACATGCAATTATAGCCACAAGCAATAATCATTGTGTTCTCCATGCTCCCCCCATCCAGAACATAATAGCTCTGCAGGAGGGATTCCCCCATCAACACTGACTGGCAATATCTATGGCTTGCCCAAGTCATTGAAATGCTAATACTAGACAGCAAACACTACTTAGGCAGGCCATAGACGGGCCGTTTAATCAGTCGAATTTTCGTCCGATAAACAAAAAATTGGTTGACCCCGTTGCCAATGCTGCCACCCATGTCCGTTTTTCGCGGATTTTCCAGCGTGACCAATATAAAAATAAATGAGGAGATCCGCGAAAAACGGCTGATGGGCTGGCCCCACTAACGGCGTGATTATCGGCTGATTTTTCATGCGGACGAAAATTTGGCCGATTTTTTTTTTTGTGCGGACGAAAATTCGTCCGATAAACGACCCGTCTATGGCTTGCAATAGGTCAGAACATCCACCCATCTATGTAATGCATTGGAGCCAGATTCCATAGACCTTCTCACATGGGTATGGCTGTTGAACTCTGATAAGGCTTTTATTGCGTTTGAGTTCAGGGGCTTTGGCAAAATAACGCCAAGAGATCTTGATTCACGTTCATGAGTAGCAGTGTGCATGAGGCCTTAAAGGCCTAATTTTAATGGGAGTAGCCTTCAGCAAAAGTGTAACATGCTTCAGTCTGTTATTTTTCACCCCATCCATACCTGCAATAGTTCTCGCTGACCATCCCATAGACAGAGACCTCCTCGCATAGCTCCATGGCCAGAATCATTGTGAACCAGCCAGTGCTCAGAAAGGTACCGGACATCGCTCTGCGGAAATATGAAGAAAGAGGTTACGTTTCCATTCACTGAGCTGGACATCAAAGGGGTTGGCAAGATTCAAGTTCTGCTTACGTTGCTGGAAAGTTTTAAACAAAACCTGTCACTAGAGAATTACATCAGCTGCCATTTCCGATCTTTTCTACTAGCCGTAAACAACTGTAACTATTTAAAAAGCTAGCTTGGCAGGCATAGACTGTGCTGGACTGCATCCCATGTGAAGTAGAACTGCCCCCTCCCCACCCCCACTTTCCTGTGAATCCTAGTCTATATGAGCATGTGCAGCTACTTCATGGAGACAGCAGAGTACATACAGTTGTGTTCAAAATAATAGCAGTGTGTTGAAAAAAGTAAATAAAGCTCAAAATTCTTCTAATAGCTTTTATTTCCATACACACAAATGCATTGGGAACACTACACATTCTATTCCAAATCAAAACATGAAGAAAAAATATATCAAATTTGTGTTGTTCCTCTAAAGAAATTGAAGAAAAGTGAATATTAGACTGTTCAAAAAAAATAGCAGTGTTTGTATTCTTTACAAACTCAAACATTCACTATAAAAAACTGAAAAATGTTTGAAGATTTTGCTTTCCTTTGAATCACTTAATGAATATTTCGTTGTATAAGCACTGTTTCTGAGAACTGCTGTACATCTGTGTTGCATGGAGTCAACCAACTTCTGGCACCTGTGAACAGGTATTCCAGCCCAGGATGATTGGACTACATTCCACAGTTTCTTCTCTATTTCTTGGTTTTGCCTCAGAAACTGCATTTTTGATGTCACCCCACAAGTTTTCTATTGGATTAAGATCCGGGGATTGGGCTGGCCACTCCATAACGTCAATCTTGTTGGTCTGGAACCAAGATGTTGCACGTTTACTGGTGTGTTTGGGGTCGTTGTCTTGTTGGAACACCCATTTCAAGGGCATTTCCTCTTCAGCATAAGGCAGCATGACCTCTTCAAGTATTATGATGTATTCAAACTGATCCATGATCCCTGGTATGCGATAAATAGGCCCAACACCGTAGTATGAGAAACATCCCCATATCTTGATGCTTGCACCACCATGCTTCACTGTCTTCACAGTGTACTGTGGCTTGAATTCAGTGTTTGGGGGGTCGTCTGACAAACTGTCTCCGGCCACTAGACCCAAAAAGAACAATCTTACTTTCATCAGTCCACAAAATGTTGCGCCATTTCTCTTTAGGCCAGTCAATGTGCTCTTTGGCAAATTGTAACCTCTTGCAGCACATGTCTTTTTTTCAACAGTGGGACTTTGCGGGGGCTTCTTGCAGATAGCTTGGCTTCACATAGGCGTCTTCTAATTGTAACAGTACTCACAGGTAACTTTAGACCTTCTTTGATCTTCCTGGAGCTGATTGTTGGCTGAGTCCTTGCCATTTTAGCTATTCTTCTATCTATTTGAATGGTAGTTTTTCGCTTTCTTCCACGTCTTTCAGGTTTTGGTTGCCATTTTAAAGCATTTGCGATCATTTTAGTTGAGCAGCCTATCATTTTGTGCACTTCTTTATATGTTTTCCCCTCTCCAATCAACTTTTTAATCAAGGTACGCTGTTCTTCTGAACAATGTCTGTAACGACCCATTTTCCTCAGAATTTCAGAGAGAAATGCACTGTAACCAGCAAGTACAACATTTGCTGCCTTCCTTCCTTAAATAAGGGCAATAATTGCCACCTGTTTTTCAATGAATGAATGACCTCACTAATAGAACTCCACACTGCTATTATTTTGAACATGCCCCTTTCAATTAGTGATTCAATTACACAGAATCAGCAGCATGCATGTCATGACTGTTGGGTCTGTTGGATTTCTATTACTCTACTACACCTGATAGTAAATTATTTTCCATGTAGAAATATCATTTCTACCAAAAACAGTGATTGATCAGGTTAGTGATGTCTGACTGCTATTATTTTGAACACAAACTGTATATAGAAAAAAGCTTTCAGAAGTTATTTTCTGCATTATGTAAGGACTCCAGGCCTGCCTATACATGGAATCAAAAGACAAAAGAAATCAATTCAATCAATGAATACACATTGGATGAAATGGATTCATGAAGATGTAGGGAATGTGTACACTTGCCTGTTCTTGCCAGTCTCATTCTGAAATATCTGGTCACAGTGCATCATCATATTTTGTGTCAATATGTAGATATTTACTCCGGGATATCTGCCTTTTGCCTGCAATAAGGCCCGATAGGTGATCCCTTGGTCAATGTCCATCTGCCTAGGAGGACCCCAGATGACATACACCGTCTCATGGGCTTGCTGGAAGAAGTAGGTCTGGTTACGAAGAAGGAGTGGAACGCTGGTATGGGACACAACTCTAAGTGTGCTACGGCTGCCCACGTCTGATTCATACCCAACAGTGGGAGCCGTGTTCATTCGCAGGACACACTCAGCCTGGTCTATCTGTGGCCCCAGGCCAGAGCCGAGCATCTGGCCAGAACTGGACACCACCGCGCATGTCTTGCATATGTTCCGGACCAGTGGCTGTGAGGGATAAAACACATGCTTCAATAACATAACATAAACCAATGCCTCCTCTGTAGTGCTGGCTCCTGTCCCATGTAGAGTGATACCAACCATACTCCACCTCTTATCCTGGCTAGCAGCCTCCAGAGTGGTGCCAGCAGCAGGAAAGAAGAGATCTTCAGGTCAGTGTGAAGCAATACTCTGGGTATAATAGTATAGGGCTGCTTTCACACTGATGTGCTGCGGTCTACCCACACCACGGGTGCAGTGCAGTGTACCTGCAGTTTCCTGCGGATTTGCTGCGCTTAGCCAGCGTCTTTGGTGCACTCAAAGCGCATCTAAACTTCTGAATGCAGGAGTTTTGGTGCGCTTTCAGAAAAGTGCACCACACCTGATATAATAGAAGTCTATAGCAAAGCTAACCCAGGAAAGTCGCAGATGCACTGTGCTGTACCCCTGGTGCAGGTAAACTACAGCACATCAGGTGAAAGCAGCCTAAGGCTGGCCATACACTATACAATTTTCTGCCCAATTTCCTGTATATTTACCTTCAACTGTGTAGTGCGAGGGCCTGCCTAATTAGATACAACTGAAAGTGTTGTTAGGTTTGACCTCCTATTATATGTTTTTTGGTAAATCTAAAGCAAAAATCTCAAGAAATTTGTATAATGTATGGCCAGCCTTATGCGGGGCTCAGAACAGTAAGGGTTCATTTACATTTGTAGTTTGGGGGGTGGCAAAACCTCATAGTTTTTACCACCCCCGCCCCAACCACACCCCCTTTAGCTGCAGTGGACAGGGGTGTACGCGTCACGCGGAGTTATACACCCTGTCATTGTTGGTGGGTGAAACACCTGGCAAGCATGACCCACTCAAGTGAATGAGGCCGCTCTGCAAGTGTCCTGCTACCTTGTGCAGTACAGCAAACAAGGGGTCAAAGCAGGCAGCATTGTGTTGCCTATTTGACACCTGCTTCAAACCCTTGGATCCCGCAGAAGCATGCAGTTGTGGGGTGCTGGCAGAGTGGCCCCATTTACTTGAATGGGCCATGATTGGTAGGTGGTAGCGCCCACCAAAAACAACAGAGGCGCTTAATTCCTGCTGCAGCATGGGCACTTTTGGCTGCTGCCTCAGAAGCTAAAGAGGGTAGGGATTTGAAAACCATGACTCAACTGCAGGGTTTTACCACCCCAAACTTTAAGTGTGAAAGAGCCCTGCTGAATGCAATGAAGGGTTCATTCACAAGTGCAGCAGGCGTTGCTGCTCCTCTGAAAAGCGGTCCAAGTGTTTGGCAGGTGTTACTCGGCAATATGTTGTCTCTTCACCACTTGATCTAAACCCACGATCACTGCGCAATGCACGTGACTGTGACACAATAGTACGACAATAGAGGATCTAAATCAGGTGTGAGGAGGCAACACAGTACCCGGTGATCTTTGATTTCTCCCATGTTGTTCAGGTAGATCTCCACTTCTGTAAGGTTACCTACCCCTGCTTTAATGAGTAATTCCACTTTTGTTGAGAAAAAAAAAAAAACATTCCCCTCTGTTAAAATCCTTGTACAGAGATCACTCAGACTTTGTTGCAGACTCCTACCTTTTGGTATTCTGAGGCAGTAGCTGATTGTTTGTCTGTGTCCATATGAAAAGTGAATCTGTATGGGAGTGACTTCATAATTACCTATCAGTTGCTGCACTTGCAGGACTCTAATGGGGAAAGTGGCAGGGTCTGCATCCCTTTAGATGTGATTTCCTTTGGGAGAATCCCACCAAAAATGATATTTAGTTGCAGGGAATGCCCCAAATCTGACTTGTATGTTAGTGCAGACTTCTGGGAAATTCAATGATCCAATCACACGCAGGAAATGGCATATCTGGGGTGCGCTCCATACATCATCTGTGTACAGAACACGTCCAGGTTGCCATATTACATTGCATTGTACAGCAACTTAAAGTGCTGCAGATTGAAAAGGAAAGGTCATTTGTAATAATATTCTGTTACAATATGACTTGTGTTGCAATTGTATATGTTATGTTATATTATTATTTCTTTTATTTGCCATTTTTCTTTTCCCATGAAAGTGGAGTTCGCATTTACCACATGGGAGAAAAGCAAGTCACTGAGTTGGCTGTGCTGTTTGACAGGGCCTTTTAAATCTCAAGAGAAGGGTGGTCAGAAATCCAGATTCTCTGGCAGATGAAGCAGTCCTTATAGATCAGGGGTAGGCAACCTTTCAGAGGTTGAAATCTACCTGGACAACACACGGAGTAAAGCAAAAATCCCCTGGGGGGGGGGGGGGTTACTATGCGGTGCCCATAACCCCCCCCAAAAAAAAAACCCCCTCCCCCTCAGTGGTGTCCTTTGCCCCCCTTTACATCACCCCCTACTGCAGTGTCCTATAACCCCCAAATGCAGTGTCCTTTGCCCCTTCACATCACCCCCCCCCCCCCCGTAGTGTCCCCTGCCCTCCTCCCCCCACAGTGGTGTCTTGTACCCCCCAAAAGCAGTGTCCTCTGCCCCACCCCCCAAAGCAGTGTCCTCTGCCCCCACAATGCGTCATCTGCCTCCCCATCCCCCAAAGTAGTGCCCCCTGTCCTTTTCTTATCAGAATCCCCCCCACTTTAGTTTCCTCTGCCCCCCCTCACACTGTCTCCTCTGCCCCCCCCCCCCCCGCAATGTCTCCTCTGCCCCCCTCCCACATTATCTCTTCTGCTCCCCTGCCACATTGTCTCCTCTGCCCCCCCTCCCATTGTCTCCTCTGCCCCCCCTCCCGTTGTGTCTCCTCTGCCCCCCCCCCGTTGTGTCTCCTCTCCCGTTGTGTCTCCTCTGCCCCCCTCCCTGTGTCTCCTGTGCCCCCCTCCTGCATTGTCTCCTGTGCCCCCCCTTGCGCATTGTCTCCTGTGCCCCCCCGCATTGTCTTCTGTGGCCCCCCCGCATTGTCTCCTGTGGCCCCCCCTCCCACTGTGTCTCCTGTGTCCCCCCTCCCACATTGTCTCCTGGTTCCCCCCCCCCCACTGTGTCTCCTGTGTCCCCCCCCCCCTCCCACTGTGTCTTCTGTGTCCTACCTCCCGAATTGTCTCCTGTGTCCCCCCTCCCGCACGGTCTCCTGTGTCCCCCCTCCCGCATTGGCTCCTGTGTCCCCCCCCCATTGGCCCCCCCCCCCCCACTGTGTCTCCTGTGTCCCCGCTCCCGCATTGGCTCCTCGCCCCCCCCCCAGTGTCTCCCGTGTTCCCTTCACATCACACACACAGGTAGCACTTTCTACCTGCCAGCACATGTAGAGCAGAGCGGAGAATAGAAGACAGCACAGTGCTAGGTTGAAGGCGGGAACAGGGCTACCGGAGGTCATATTAGCAAGCTGGTGATTGGTTGCTAGCACCACCTAGCAACGAATCACTGAGCAGCTTCTGCCCCCACCCTGTCATCCATCCGGCACTATGCTGCCTCCTGCTTTCCACTCTGTTGTTATGAGAGCGGCAGAGGCTGGGGAAAGGCAGAGCCGTGACCTGTCAGGTCCCCGCAGTCTTGACGTGGTTGTAAACCTCAGAAATGAAATATGAACAAAGCATATCCCTCTATAGTGAGACTTGTCTCAATCCAGAGCAAGTGCCATTTCTGTCTGCTACTTAGTTCTTCTGCTATCCACATAAATCACTTCTGAAAAGTTTTCTTGACACCAAGAGAAAAATGGTGACAGGGGAGAGACTTCCTGTTCCTGCTGATTGACAGACTTGGCTCTGTTTCTGTGTGAAAGAGGGGGGGGGGTCCCTGCCTCCGCCTCCAATCAGCTCTCAGAGCTCTTGTACAGTGTGACTTCACGGGCATAGCAATAGGGGTCGCAGGGGTCACATGGCGACCCTACTCATGCACCAGGAGGGCCTGGGCAGCAAGAGGAACAATCAGCTGTATTTTCCAGCAGCAGCTGAAATCCCTCTTCTCCTTCAACTGATCGGATTTAGCAAATGCAGTCCCTCCATCCTGTTTTGGGCCCCCTGTGTGCTCTCCTGGCCCCTGCAGCACTCCAGATAACACAGAGCCAAAGAGTTCTTGAAAGCATTTAACTCCATACATGCCAGGTAACAACAGAGGCAGAGTACAGGATTTCATGTGAGGGATTTGGAAGTGCAGCATCGTGACAGCTGAGAAGGGACACAGACATCATCATCACTATTAACAGTGCTTATCCTGGGGGGGGGGCAGGATTTCATGGCCATTCTGCATAAGCAGGAGCTGAGCAGCTGCACAGACTTAACCCCATAGCTGTTGGGGAAGGAGCTGAGCGGGTGGCTAACAACCTCTCAATACCTCTGCCATGTACAACTTAAAGCACCCACTGATTACCTTACAAGGGGCAGGAAAGAGGGTTGGGGGGGGGGTCTGTCAGAGGAGGGAGGTGTCAGTAGTTTGGGGGGGGGGGGGGGGGGGGGTCTGTCAGAGGAGGGAGGTGTCAGTAGTTGGGGGGATCTGTCAGAGGAGGGAGGTGTTGGTATTTGTGGGGAGGGTCTGTCAGAGGAGGGAGGTGTCGGTAGTTGGGTGGGTCTGTCAGAGGAGGGAGATGTTGGTAGTTGGGGGTGTCTGTCAGAGGAGGGAGGTGTCAGTAATTGGGGGGGGGGGGGTCTGTCAGAGGAGGGAGGTGTCAGTAGTTGGGGTTGTCTGTCAGAGGAGGGAGGTGTCAGTAGTTGGGGGGTGTCTGTCAGAGGAGGGAGGTGTCAGTAGTTGGGGGTGTCTGTCAGAGGAGGGAGATGTTGGTAGTTGGGGGTGTCTGTCAGAGGAGGGAGATGTTGGTAGTTAGTTGGGGGTGTCTGTCAGAGGAGGGAGGTGTCAGTAATTGGGGGGGGATCTGTCAGAGGAGGGAGGCGTCGTAAGTTGGGGGGGGGTCTGTCAGAGGGAGGGAGGTGTCGGTAGTTTGGGGGGGATCTGTCAGAGGAGAGAGGTGTCGGTAGTTGGGTGGGTCTGTCAGAGGA